ATACGGGCACGTTGTAAATGCTATGATTACATAACAATGGATTCTCTTTACTCGTATGGCCTGGGAATTTACCAGGAATGAACCCAATTGAGAATTTATTAGACATTTTGAAGGACGAAATAAACAAAGTTCCAATTACTACAAAAGCACAGCTTATAGAGAGGTTATTCCATGTTTGGTTCCACAGCGAAACAATCACCAAGTTATGCCGTGATTTAATCAACGACATGCCCAAGAGAGTGAAATCATTGAAAGCTGCCAAAGGTGATCAAACCTTTTAACCAAATTAAAAACTTTGATATACCAGGAATGTACAATCTGTACCTTTATTTTTATGTTATGATTGTTTTTAAAGTAATTTTAAAAACAATCATAACATAAAAATTAAGATCCATAAAAATCATAAAATAAAAACTGAAAAAACCATAGTAATTGTCCAGTACTGTATATATATATATATATATATATATATATATATATATATATATATATATATATATATATATATATATATATATATGTGTGTGTGTGTGTGTGTGTGTGTGTGTGTGTGTGTGTGTGTGTGTGTGCGTGTGTGTGCGTGTGTGTGCGTGTGTGTGTGCGTGTGCGTGTGTGTGTGTGTGTGTGCGTGTGTGTGTGTATAAACTATGTGCATACAAATATAAATTATGATAGTGTATATAAGAGCATTCCACAAAGTTAGTGATCGATATTTTTTAGTTTAAATATTTCTTCGCCTGTCTAAATATCAAAAAATTCAAATTATAGTAAAAATATATAACTGGAAGTTAGAAATTATTGCAATTAATTTCTTGACAACTGTAGTTATTTTTTAAACAGGAAGTTACATTAGTTACATTATTTTTTCAAAAAGTTAATTATAAAATTTTAATTTTTAATAAATTAATTAAAAATTTTATTCTTTTAATAAATTAATTGAGAACTGCGTAGTCTCATTTAAAACTATGCAGTCAAAATATATTTAGAACTATTTTTTTTTTCATTTGCATTCAGTTAAGCCAAATATATTGTTTATCATGGAGGTTGTTCTGTGAGTAAACAATTCATTAATAAATAATATTTAATGAAAGAAATTTTCACTAATAGGGAAATGAAATTTGTTTGCAATTAAAACTTTCAGTATTTTTTATTTAATTTTATAAGAAATTCATTTTTATTAATCAAAATAACATTGAGGTCTTTTATAATTTTTTCTATTTTTTTTTGTACAGCTGTATCTTACTTGTATTTCTGTTAAAATTCTTGTGCAATTTATCAGAGGGAGGGAAATGTTTGCCAATTAACTTTAAAAACGCTTTTCCAATACTTGTTGAAACATTTTAGCTGAACGTTGGGTTGAACCAATTTTAAATCTGCATCTTTATACATACTTTTAGAAGAGTTAAAAATATCTTCATTAGAAGAGTTTTGATTTAATATATTGTTAATTGAATTAGAAGTTTGTTTTTAGGTTATAAAGGGGGAGGAGGAAGATGGGGGAGGAAGTGATTTAAATTTATATCAATAAACAATAATTATTCAAGAGATTTTTTGCAAGACTTATAAGAAATTTCCGAGAGAATTAATGTTTATTAAATTAATCTTTAATTTAATTTAGAAGCCAATGTTTTTAAATTTTAGGTCTTGATGTTTTTTCCATTATTATTAAACCATCATTGCAATAATTGATTATTTTTTTTATTTTTTAGCTAGGAAATTTAAAATATGTAAGCCTACAAATTCGCAAAATTCTGCTTCGTTGTAACTTCCTATTGTTCCTAGTTTATAAATATATATATATATTAGGGTGTCCCAAAATTACATTTTTGTTCATTTTGAACATATTTTAGATTTTTAATCGGTTTCATATGTATTTTTGTCTATTTAAACAAAAAACAAAAAAATAAAAAATTGAAATTTTTTTTATTATAGACCATCCCTAATTTTTATAGTTGTTTTTTTTCTGAAATTTTACCAAAAAGGGCTAAAAACATTTTATATAGTTTTTTATACTAAAACCAAATAAAAATTTATTCAAAAAAAATTCACCAACCAAGGCCCCCGACCCCCCTTCATCCTTATAAACTACCCCCTCCTCCCCACCACTTCACCCGCCTATTCATGATACTTTTCTGCCTAAAATAATGAATTTTTAGAACTATATTTTTTAATTATAACAAAAAAGATTTATTATTAAATTTATTTTTATGACAAACAAGCAAATAAATTGTTATAAACTGAAAATATTTGAAAATTGAAATTTGGGTAGCATTTTGCAAACATTGTTATACAAAACTATGACTGCCTTTTTTTATTGCTTTTTCGAGGTACTTAGTTCCATTAAGTTGCGTAACTTTCTCCCAAAGGTACCAGGTAATTTCTTTATCGTGTTTTTTTCATCTTATTGGTATGTTTTAAGAAATAAATTTCCGTCTTTACAAGCTTCACAAAGATATTCCAACAATTATCATTTTTCTCGTCACACACTAAAGCATATGGT